TTTTGCTACAATACATGTTCAAAGAAAACAAAAAAATGATAATGACTTGTTACTTTAAAATATTGGGATCAATAGAAACAATCGTAGCCTGTAACTTATTTTGATTTCAACGCCCTTGATGATCAAAAGCGAAACGCCCGTTCCCTCACTCAGAGGAAAGTGCCTATACCCAGATTTCACCAGCTACAAGAGTTAAGTGAGGATGTGTCTTGTCAACGAGGTGAAAAAATTTACAGCTATGGACGACTGCTATCAAGGATGGTGGGCTTGAGCAGTAATTGGCCATCATGTGCGTATGCACTTGATGTCAGATTGCTGCTGGGGTTTAACAATGGAGTATTCAAAAATTCATACAAAAATGTCACGGAAAAGAAATGTCTGAAGTGTACAGTGACTTGGTTCATTGATGTTCCTTCATCTTTGTTTATAATTAAAAATATTTTCATCATTATGATGAAAATATTTTTAATTTAAAAAATCCATGTTTATTTGATCCATGAATTTTTGCTTGAAATAGTATAACGTATATTTCATAAATTAGTTATTCATCATAAAATTTGAAATTGAACTACTAGGCAAAAATCAATGTTATATTTGAATTCAGGGCATCAAGTTCATATGAAATTAGCTGCAAATGTCCTGATTCTGTCACAAAAATAGCTGTTGACCTGTGGAATTGCAAGTATTTATAATGCAAAATCTATATTTAAGTAGCAGTCTGCTAGTGATAGTCAATATATACAAGTACTTGAAAACAATTTTAAAAACGTTTATTTGAATTTTTGTTTTAAAACCACTTCTAATACATAACGTACAAAAATTTTTATATTAATTAACAAATGGCTTAATATCTGATTATGATTAAATTATACTTTTAATTCAATTAGTTTTCATTATCACTTGGATCAGGCGATTGTGTTCAATAGAAAATCTATTATATTTGTCGCCTTTGGCTAGTGTCAACTCGAATAAACGTTCGGTGTAAAGATCACTTCACTTTATGGGCTGGATTCAATTAACTAATTACTCAGCTTTTGTTTCTTGTTGACAAAGCTATTTATGATGTCAATGTATTCATATCATTCATGTTATAAAACTGGGTAATCCGATGAAATAACACACTGTCACTTTTAAAAGAGATTTTTAAGTTAAAAGTAGATTTAGTGAAATTTTATTATTGAATTTGACAAAAATTTCATATAATGGGCTAAAAATACACATAATAATTAATGTGGATAATTATTAATACAAAGATCGAACACTCAGAAAAAAAATTTTCGATCCGGCCGGATTCTTCTTAATTCTTCTAGCATACTTTTATACCATACCATGCTAGAAGAAGTCGGTTCGAATCCGGCCGAAATTTTTATTGAATTGATAGAATATCAAATATACGCGAAAAAACAAATATACGCGATTTAAATCCGGATAAATAGTGTCATTGCCTATGATAGAATATCAATTCAATAAAAATTTAAATACAATGAATAGCGACATCTCTAGCCGTGTCTGGTGGCTGTAAAGGTATCTAACTGGGTGACTAAATATCATAGATTTCTCATAGAAGGCGTTACGGCTAAAAAGTCGTTGAAAAACCAAATACAAAGATACGACGCAAGCACACAGAAAAAATCATGAGGTGCGCTGGTTCGTTCCGTGGCTTAGTTGGTATAGCGTCTGGCACAGTATGCTACAAGACGTCAGTTCGAATTCGGCCGGATCGAAGGAGCTTTTCTGAGTGTTCGAACTTTGTATTAATAAATATAACAAACTAGTGGAGCAATTTCACGTAAAAATAATTGAACATCAATTAAAAAAAAATTTAAATACAATGAGTAGCGACATTCGGGGCTGGTAGCTGTAAAGGTATCTAACTGGGTGACGAAATAACATAGATGGCGCAACGGCTAAAAAGTTGTTGAAAAAATAAAATAAAAAGATACTACGCAAACATATAGAAAAATTCGCGAGATCCGTTAGTTCTTTCCGTGACTTAGTTGGTGTAGCGTCTGGCACGGTATGCTAGAAGACGTCGGTTCGAATCAGGCCGGTTCGAAGGATTTTTTTCTGAGTGTTCCATCTTTGTATTAATAATTATAACAAACTAGTGGAGTAATTTCACACAAAAATAATTGAATATGAATGCAATAAAAATTTGAATGAATGTGGATATTTTTGTGTTCAAAGAAAACCTTAATGGAATATAATTATTTCAGGAAATAAGTAAAAGATTCATTATTCCATGGGCATCGGTTGTGACCAATTTTGTGTGATGAGGTTTATACCAAAAAACTGGATGTTAATAAGAATATTACAGGCAGCAGAAGTAGTAGGAATTGGTTACACATTTACTAAAAGAAATAATCTAAAAATTGCTAAAATACTAATATCTTGCAATTTTCAAATGTTATTCAAAGTAGTTACCTTGAATAACATTTTACTTTAACTGCCTCCGTGGCCGAACGGTTACCGTACCGGACTGCTACGTAGAGGTCCCAGATTCGAGAGGCCGGGAGAAATATTTGTGTTTCACATTTATTTCTCTCCTAACTTTGGGTGTGTTTTGTGTTTGTCTATGTGTATGTCCGTGGCAACTGCGACACAGGGTTTGCCTAGTGCGGTGTCATGTTGAATGTGTGTGTTATTAGTTACTAAAGGTGTGAAATTTTGAGTCAACTGATCATCTTACTGTTTATTTTGCCGCAGAATCTAAGGTTTTGATGTTAAAGCGATAGTAGTAACGTTTAAAAAGTTGTAAGTGTTATTTTAAAGAAGGTAGATAACGGAATTGCCTTTTTAAAAATATTATGTTGAAATTTTATATTTTACTTCTTATATGATAGAAATAATATTTTCCGTAGCATGAGATTACAATCCCTCGATCCATAATGGAAGTAGTACATAATAGTACGTTACATAGTATGTACAGTCGATGCCTAAGATACCTATAATCTAGCCGCCGATACTTTGGTTCTGAGAGCTAACTTGTGCACTTCTCGTATTCAACAAAAAAGTGTAGAGGAATTCCATTTTTTTAGTTGTATTTATGTAATTTAGTTAAAGATAAAAAATGAGCTCAAAAAATTCCTTTGAAAAAAAAGGAAATTTTTGGGCTCATTTTTGATTATACATAATTAGCAACTAATGAGTTGCTAATTATGTAATAAGGATTTACGGAATTATTATACGGAAATACTATTACATTTAAGGAATTATTAGTAACAGGTATCTTACGGCGTTGACTCACAGTACAGGGAATTCCCTTGTTGAGATCAGGCAATCAACTACATTAAAAATTGCGCAACACTTAATTTCCACTACATTAATATATAAATACTCAGCATAAGAACTATGCTACAGGGAATATTGTTTAATGGCATGGAGTCCGCAATTTGTATTATTTAGTGTACAATGAAGTTTAAATAAATAAATAAAATATTTGGCTGACATTTAGGGTGTTCCGAGTCTGTTGATTCTTAATAGTTGCTCTATAACGACGAGTAACATTTATTGAGCATAAATTTATGAACAAAATATACAAGTCCAATTTCTTATGTCGCATTACAATAACAAGACATGTTGTTTCATGCATTAAGTAGCAGCGGTATTAATGCTATGATTTAACCTAAATGACATCTAAAACGTAACTAGGGTTCACATCTACCCCGCAAAGTTGTGGATTGTTAAACACCCATCAGCGGACTCTGCGGTCAGTCCTACGAATTATCGTCGTTTAATCTGCCCAGCATTATGTGGCCTGAAACCGCATTTCTGTGATAATGTTATTATACTTTTATTTTTTTAAAGTAAGTATACTTTTATTTTTACATTTTATGACAGAAGTGGAATAGCATATACTAACGTTTTGGCTTTGGTTTGGATAATGATAAGAAAAGACAGAAAGCGATTTGAGATGTAATGCTGGAGAAGAATAGTTGGACGAAAAGAAAATAAGGAGGTGTTAAGTAAAGAGGACATTTATTAAAGATAATAGAGAACCGAAGGGGAAAGATGTTTGGGCATCTACACGACACGACAGTTTTCTTAGAAACATCATAGAAGAAGAAGGAGGGGAAGATCCAAGGATAGAGAGGCAGATGACGACCGAGACAAAATTATTCAGATCGAATAAGGGAAAAAGTTAATGTCGTGTAGTTATCGACAGCTGAACAGAAATGGTTGGCGATTACTATACCGACTAGAGCATAGTTCTTAAATAAGAAGGAGAAGAACATTTTGGTTAGAATTATATGAAAACCTGTAAACAAAAAAGGTTAATTAATTAGTATAGCGATCACTGAAAATATGGTAATAGTATACACATAGTATTCTATATAAATGATGGGAATTTGTGTAACGACGTTTATTACTTATCATAATCCTCTTTTATAATGATTTCTTTCTCCTATCATAATAGTAGGTCCATTAGTGTTGTCAGAAGTTATGCATGGCATTATACTCGCGTCAATAAAGCGCAAACCAGACATTTTATGCACTTTTAGTCTGCTTTGTGAGCAGCAGAGCAATTTTTATCAGATCCCATTTTAGCAGTCCCTACAGGGTTGTGTGCTCTTGGAACTACATTAATGCAGATACAGGTCCAATACTCTTTATTGTCAAGTTCAAAATTATCACATTAGGGCAAATTAAGTCTTTCTAAAAACCCTCCGACAGCTTTAAAATAAGAAGCCTTAACAATCTTCGTCAGCATTTTTATATCTTCGACACTTAGTTCTAAGTCTCTTTGATCATTAAAATTTATTTATTTATAAATTTAGTTTTCTTAGTCTACCCATAACTTGTTCTAAGGGTTCATACCAAGATAGTCGTTGATCAACCAGAACTCCCAAGTATTTAGTATGAGTAACTCTATTGATATTTGAACAGGAGCAGACTATAGAACTATAGAATTTGCTAATTGGTTCTAGTCTGGGTGTTCTGCATAGTGCCCCAGAGTGACTTCCGTTGCTCTGGTAATCACAGTACAAGTTTTTTTTAAGAATTGCAGAAGAAAGCTGTGACGCGTCCCACATCGCGCTCCCACTCGCCACAGCGCCGGCCGACCGTACGTCATGGAAAGTTCCGCGGACCGATGCCGACGCGAGCGGCACAGGTGAGCGAAGACGAGACTACAAAAGGTCGCCAGCCGGAACGAGCGATACACTCATTGGAGGAGCTTGCTACGGTAGGAACCTCAACCGGGCGTGGGACTGATGCAGAGTAATTGTAGCGCGTGACGAAGATGTGCCCAGGTCGTGCGAATTGCTCGTCTTCCGCCCCCCGTAGGGACTATCCTCTCCCGTCCGTCTCCTGGGTTGGGTAGCGATTGCTGGGTGTGACCAAGGTGTGTCCAGGCCGTGCAAATCGCTCACCCTTGACCCCCGCATACCCACCTAACCCCTGTCCGCGTCCTGTGTTGGGAGAACAATTGCTGCGTGTGACCAAGGTGTGTCCAGGCCGTGCGAATTGTTCACCCTTCAACACCGTAAACCTACCCTTTAGCTCAACGTCGTCACTTGATTAGTTAGGGTAGTAACCCTGCGTGGTTCATGTAATTCTAGTATACTTAAGAGGTGAATTTATTACTTATTGTAAACCGATCAATAAACGATCAATGTTAAAACTGGGTGTTGGTTTCCTTCGTTAGTTGTAGAACCTTGGATAAATTCCTGTAGGTAACAATAGTGTGCATGTCCCGACCGCACCCCGGGAATATGCTACATTACAAAGCATACAATATAATATATGAAATAATCGAAGATCTATAATAATATTTTATTTATTCACTCTCACAAAAGGAAGATAGTAATAAGATCTAAAGTTACCAACTTTAAAGTAAGAGATCTCCAGGCTCCGACAATCATAACTTATAATGTGTTTAAATTAATGCCACGCTATATAAATGTGTAGAGATTGTTCTTTAAATTATTAGGAGCTTAGATCGAGTGCACTAAAAATCGCACAACATACAATACTACGACAAAAAATATATTACAATACTATTTGAATACACTGCATAAAAATTTCGCTACGGGTATAATTTGGTTGAGTTTTAGGGAGTAATATTTATTGGGCATACATTTTTGAACAAATATACAAAATCGAATTCTTATGTAGCATTACAATAAAACATATGTTATTTAATGTAATGCAGCGATAATAGTTTACCCTAAACGACATCTAAAACGTAAGCAGGGTTTGCATCTAGTCCGCAAAGTTGTGGATGCTTAAACACCCATCAGGGGACGCCGCGGTCAGTCTCACGACTTATCGTCGTTTAATCTGCCCAGCATTATGTGGCCTGAAACCGCTATTCCGTGATAGCGTTGTTTATACTTACTTTTATTTTTAGATTTTATGACACACAAGGATTACTTAACGGTTTTGGTTTGGATAATGATACGAAAAAACTGAGAGCGATTTGAGATGTGATGCTGGAGAAGAATAGAAGGATTAGTTTGATGGAAAGAAAAACCAATGAGGAGGTGTTAAGACTAGTGTAAGAAAAGAGAAGCTTCTTAGAGACTACAGAGAATCGAAGGGAAAAAATGTTTGTGCATTTGATATGTAGCGAGTTACTGAAATTATGTAAACGGGTTCACAAATATCTATTTCAATATTTCATTGTTTTTATTGATTTGTACCATTTTACCATTTTATATTAAATAAAAAATGTACGCACAAACGGACACATGCAGGCGCCGACTTTTTATATATATAGTCTTAACTGCGTCACACCGCGGAACCGGTCCCGGCGTCGAACGAGTGGCGCGAGTGCATCACTGCACCGCGGGGCGCCCTTCTCTAGTCGCTAAATAGCTTCTATCGAAGTTGCATATCATCGTATGCTTGTCGCTGCTTACATGTGTGTCGTGCGTGCTGTATGCCTAGTGCCCATATTGCGGATTGTTTTTATTTCTGCCTTTACCTCGGACGTGACTTATTCGCGTAAAACACGACGAAAGGTGGAGAGGCTCGGTTAGTGTTAATACCCACTTCAGATACATCACTATAGTTTCGAAGGAAAGAGAGGCAGAAGACGACTGAAGCAAAGTTATGTGTACCAGATAAAGTAAGAAGTTAATTTCGTATCGTATCAAGAAATCAAATTTGGAGAACTGAACAGAGATGGTTTCGAGACCGAGAAGAGCTTAGCTCTTAAATAAGAAGAAGAAAAACGTTTTGGCAAGAATTACATGAAAACCTATGAACAAAGAAAGAAGTCGATTAATATAAAATATTGCGTTTGGTGCAATCATTGACAATTAGAGTTTTTATCTAGTGTGATAACATTGAAAGTATAAAAATACAAAATAAATATTGCATTGTATATAAATTACGAGAGTATTTGTAAAACTGTCTATTAATTATTATAATCCTCTTTTATAATATCTGCTCCCCTTTCTCCTATCATAATAGTAGGCGCATTTGTGTTGCCAGAGGTTATGCTTGGCATTATACTCGCATCAATAACGCGCAAACCTGTTGTTTTATGTACTTTTAGTCTACTGCTTACAACAGAGCAATTTTTATTAGATCCCATTTTAGAAGTCCCTACAGGGTTGTGTGCTCCTGTAACTACATTAATGCAGATACAAGTCCAATACTCTTTACTGTCAAGTTCAAAATTATCACATTCGGGCAAATTAAGTCTTCCTAAAAACCCTCCGACAGCTTTAAAATAAGAAGCCTTAACAATCTTCGTCAGCATTTTTATACCTTCAACACTTAGTTCTAAGTCTCTTTGATCATCAAAATAATTATAATAAATGTTAGGTTTATCTTTAGGATTGCTTGTATGCAATGATATATTTCCTGTGGAATATGGATGCAACAAATTAAACTCAAATAGATAAAGTGCAAATTTTGAGTTCTGCTTGACAACAGAATTTGCTATAGGTTTTTTATAACTTGACTTTATCCAATTACGAGCGTCTTTGGACTTTTTAATAAAAAACCTAAAACGGTTTTGAAACATTGGACGAATTGCATTTTCTTCATTTGAGTAAAAGTTAACAATGTCACTAATACTATTTTCAGCCAAATATCCTGTGCGATGATAGAGATATTTAATTACCTCTAAATTTACGTCTATTTCGTTTTTTGTACCCGGTTCATTTCCATAAATTGTAACCGGAACTACAAGGTGGTCATGTAAATTTTGTCCTACAGCTTGCAAATCTACAATACATACGATATCTTTCGATTCCAAATGTTCTCTTGGACCTATACCAGAGAGCATCAGTAATTGCGGTGTGTTAATAGATCCCGCACTTAGTATAATTTCTTTGTTTGCGAAAAAATTCATTATTGTACCGTGTCGTTCCACTTCAACTCCAAACGCTATTTTATTAAAGTCGTTTATTAATACTCTAGTCACGTAAGAGTTTTTAATAACTTTTAAGTTTGGTCGGTTTTTGGCTGTGACAAGATATGTTGAAGCTGTACTTTGTCTTTTTCCATTTGCCATAGTTACAACCGCCTTTCCAGATCCAATTATACTTTCAGCACTAACGTCTTGTATATTACTAAAACCAATTTCGTCCCAAGATGCTAAAACCTTTTCAGTAATTGAATGATAAGTGCTATTGACTATGTTAAGAATTTGCGGTCCATTTTGTCCATATAAATTTGCGCTAACTCCATTTTTAAGTATGTTTTCACTCTGCATGTTTTCTGATTTTATAAAAGATTCGAGTACTAAGCTAGGATGCCATTCTGAGTTGCCTTCATCGTACCATTTTTGAAAGTCTTGATTGTTACCACGTATGTAAAGCATGTCATTCATGGCTCCACTACCTCCGAGCATTTTTCCTCTCGGCCATGATACAGTTCCATTAAGGTTAGCCTGACTAGTTATACCATTTTTAATTGTGTGGTACTGCCAATCGAAGTTTGAGCCAAACAGCCCCATATTCATATGCGGTATCTGTATAAAATAATAATAATTATATCAACAATGTTCTTATCTTTAAATACACGAGGCAAAACAGGTAGGTAGATGCTTATATCTGTTTAAGGACCTTCTTTACTTACATTTGTTATAGTCTGAACAACGTTGGAAATTAGGACGACTAAACAGCAAGGGTAAAAGACTTACAAGACTTTCTGCTGGAGCATTGTCACCTGCTTCAATTAATAACACATTCCATTTTTTAATTTCGCTCAATCTATTAGCGACAACACATCCTGCCGTGCCAGCACCCACTATCACGAAATCAAATCTTTCCCCATCTGAAAGAAATATAATTTAGAATTATTTCATGTTCTGTTACACAGTGTCCTCTTCGATTCTCTAGAGATATAAACTTATAGATACTGGCTTTGTTACCCCTTTACTATACACGTTTTAAAGAATGTGTAGAATCTGAGTTTTTTATTGTTTTTCTTACTTCAAGAGTAGCGAGTTTTTTTTTAAAGTAACGCCAAGTTTGTATCTGGAAAACTGTATTTATTTGTAACTATCCATAAAATATCTATATAATCTAGTCCAATATTGTTCACAGTACAGTATTAAACATTTTTTATCGTGCAGTAATGCATGCCAGCATTTTGAACACATCGTCGCGGGTGTACACTTTTATTCAAGTGATTTTAACTTCTTAATACGAGCACGAAAAGCATTTTATTCCTTCAGTTAGTTTCTTGTATAAGGTAAAAAAATGTAATGAAAAGCAGACCGTGAACATCGTCGTCCGCAGGCCAGTCCTCGTCGATGAGACATTGTGCAGCTGCGATGAATTGCAGAGCTGATGCAAAAGTCTGAGCTGCTGTTCCAGTAGACACGATACATGTTTCGCTTAAATTGCTGAAACTTTTAGAGAAACATCATTGTATATGTTTCCAATATTTATGTTTTACCTTTTTACTCCGTAAATCTGACGGTGATCTAGTCTATAGCGCTAAAGAGAAAGCCAACTTACTGGGAACTCTCTTTGCTTCGAACTCGACTATCGACGATGGCGGAGCTGGTGCGGTACCTTCATGCCAGAAATCATTATAACGCAACAGCGGGTTTGGCAAGAGTTTGCTTTCGCTCAATATTCATAAGGCAAGTGGCCTAGACGGTATACATAGTGGTGCTTAAAGTGTGTGCTCCGGAGCTCACAGAGCGGACAGAAGCATATGAGCCGTCATCGGCGGTAGTTGCTCTGACGGTTGGACATTAACGCTGGTGTTTCGCAAGTTTCTGTGCTGTCCCCAACGCTGTTTTTGCTGCACATCAATGATATGCTGTCTACAGACGGCATTCACTGTTACGCGCATGACAGCACGGTGGACACCTATCACACTGGCCATGCTAAGTCCCCTTGGTCTTTCGTAGAGGAGAGCCGTAAGCAACATGTGTAACAAACAGAAAAAACCCTGGAGAGGGTTTCTGATTGAGGACGATTAAACTTAGTCCAATTTAACCCCAGCAAGACACAAGTATGCGCGTTCACCGCTAAAAAGATTCCATTTGCTGCAGACCTTCAGTTTCAGAACAAGCCATTAAATATCTCGGAGAGCATCGGGACCTTTAGTGTCGACATCACAAGCTGGCGTCCAAAAAGCTTAGTGTGTTCAACAGGGCTCAGCGGTATTTCACTTCGGAGTCGAGACTGCTACTTTATAAGTCATATGTCCGTCTCCACATGGAATACTGCTGCCATCTTTGGGCGGGAGCTCCTGGATGCCAGCTTGGGCCCTTTGACGCGGTTCAAAGACGTGCTATGAGAATTATTAACGATCCTGTGCTTAGAGACGATATTGAACCACTGTCTTAGAGGAGAGACTTTGCCTCCCTATGCCTGCTCTATCGCTTGTACAATGGCCAATGTTCTCAAGAACTGTTGCCACCAGCATGACATGATACCAACAGCAACATTTTATCCCCGCACCGCTCGCCACCGGCAGGGAGTCCATCCTCACACTCTGGAACCGAGTCGATCTCGTACTGTACGGTTTCAGAGGAGCTTTCTCCCACCTACAATTAGGTTGTGGAACTAACTCCCTGTCGGGGTTTTCCCGCAGGAATACAGCATGGAGTCCTTCAAAAGGGGTTTGAGAAGGGTCCTAAAGGTTGGCAACCGCTCGTGACGCCGCTGGTGTTGCAGGCGTTCATAGGCGACGGTAACCGCTTTCCATTAGGCGGGCCGTATGCTTGTTTGCTGCCTACATAAAAATCCTGACCTTTTCATAAGGTTCTTATAAGACAAGGGTCTCAAGGTGACACGAATTAAATGAGGTCATCAATAATCATAATCAATTTATTTATACGTCCCACTGCCGGTCACGGGTGTCACCTTTGCATAAGGGGTGTAATAAGTGACAACTGGGATAAGCCCTCAAAGTAAAACATTTTTTTTTATATAGCCGCGCACTAGAGAAACTCTGAGTCGTGGGTGCCACGTGGGTGTCTCGTGTAAAATAAACCATCGTCCAAAAGCAATAGCGCCACTACTTCCAAAGATAACCGGACTTTAGGGAAATCAAACATTTTGAACATATTTAGGTATATGTGTAAAATAATTAAAACTCTTAGCATATAAGGAATATACAGAATGATAAAAAAATCACTGTCCATTTTTGTCCTGTGCATAAGATTCAGTAATATAATACGTTACTGAAATAAAATAAAAAAAATCGCTGCGGTGTTGCGGCGGAGCCTACCAACAGATCCGCCGCGGGGACTGGGGCATCCTTTGTGATGGGGAGCATCCTTTATTATAGTATGTTGAGGAGATGTTGATCCTGGCCCCCAATGGCCCCTGGTACCGGATTCAGGGATGTTCGTTGCCCAGTACGGAGGGGCCCGAGATTGTAGACTTATCTGGTGTTCGGCGAGCCTTACATTTGGAGTCGGGGGACCGTTGTGCCTCCCTTCTCGGGGAGGAAATGCGCTGGGCGCCACCAGGCGCTGGTGGAGGCGCGGATGAGTGATAGCGTACTCATATCTCCACTGTAACGGAGAGGAGGATCACCCCGGGGGTGTAGTGCAGTTGAGCTGCTTCCCTTCAGGATTCAGTAAATTCCCACATAACCCCGGCTTTGCCCCCGCAGGGCCGGGGTATCTGATAGCAGATTCCCTCGAGTAATAAAAAAAGGGTTCCTCAACTAAGCACAACTTAGCAGTAAACTAACGTCTTCTCAACCACGACCAGTTTGCGTAATCGATTCACGTGTGCGGTGGTGGTGGCAGCGAATACCCGTAGAAGTAGAGAATGAAATGCAGTATGCAACAAATTCTAACGAGTGAGCATGAGACCGAAAGATAAAAGGCGGTGGACCAATACCTTGGTCTTGGTCACCCGAACGTACTCCGTGTCATTTTTTGTGTGAGGTGAATGAAGTTAAACACCGTGTGTATATCAACAAAGCTCAAAGCCGTGACGAATTAAAATCAAACATTATTGGTGCATTTGACGGTTTAAAAAGTGACCGTGCAGTGCTTTAAAAATTACGGAGATACGTCATTACAAATAAATAAAGGGCTAGCAACAACTACAGCAAATACCCTATCCTATCAGAAATCCAATCCGGGACCTCCTTACCAGCGTCCACAGAGCTAACCGTTCGGCCACCGAAGTCAATAAACTCACGCGTCGACTCCGCCCGCATTGCTATGGCAACGGCGTTTATTAATTGTCGGGTGTCACTAGTGTTCACAATTATTTGGAAAACTTTAAGACTTCATAACTTATTTATTTGTCAAGTATTTGAAAAAAAACCGAACACGTATTTTTTATTTCTATTACACAGTATGCTCCTTTAAAACAGTCAGTGGGGTTTTTATCATCTTGTATATATATGATTGATAGAGTCTTTCCAGCGAAAATTAAACGTGAAAGTATAAGATTATTAAAAAATAGCGCTTACCAATCCATTAATTTAAAAAATATATTTTTAAGGAATATCTAGATGTTCTAAGAAAACTAAGTACTATTGTCCTTTTCACTGCCTTTTAATGTATGTTTTATCTGCTAAAGAGTACAATGAACTGTTAATTAACTGTTAATTTATGAACAGTTTATGGTTAAATAAAATAAAAAAGTATGTAGCTGCCTTTGAATAAATTAACTAAGAAGTACTTGCTTCCTTTCAGTAAGTACATACTTAAATTTAATTCAAGATGCATTGCACCCAACCTTGAAATCTTTATGAGGTTGGGGGCTCTCTGGAATTTTAATGACTACCTTGTCTGTATATAATTCGATTTTGTTTACAAGAAGCTTATATTTGTGCCCCATGGACAGTTGCAAGAGCAAGTATTGTAATTTCTTCTTCTTCTTCAGGATTGTAATGAGATTCCTTTTTGTTTAATTTAGATGAAGTGTAAGTTGTTGGTTAACTAAGAAGCTAATTCACTGAATTATTCCAGCTATTTAAAACACCGGGTGCATTCTGTAAACCTATTTGCAAAAAACCTTTAATGCGTTCCTCTTTGCTTAAATGCGACTCTAAAACACGTGAAGAACTGACCTGCAGCTATTTAAAGTACTATATTGAGCACCAAATTTTTGAAAAGATGCGCAAGGAAAGTGATTTTTTTTATCTGAGAGATTGATGTTCCGAATAAGTCAGCATCATTAATTGGACAAAAGTGGTACCATTTATGTGGCATGAATCGTGTTGCTTTATAGATTCGTCTGAGAGGGATGCTAGCATTATTTTGATGTTCCCAGGGGGGAAATTTTTTCTCAGTAGCGATTAGCGGACAAGCCTCCGTCAGGCAGCGTAAGCCGTCGTTGGTGTACACTGTGATAGCTGTAATTAGATAAAATCAAGTCGCTTCTACGACTTTTAAGGACTTCGTGGTAAGCAACCTCTAAAACAACGAATACTACGGCTAAGTGGGCCATTAAGGATCTATCAATATGCCTATAGGGCTAACTCTAATAAATATTTTCAACGTTTTTAAAATGAACGTAAAAAGAAGTAACGTAAAGATGTAACATATTTTGAATCATGACATTGTAAAGACATTCATGTTTCATTATTTTTGTGAACACAAACGGAGCAGTACTAAGGTCAAACGGTAATACATTAAATTCGTATAAGTTTTAATTGAATTGGAATCACCGATACTTTCGAGTTGTCATGAATACGTATAAGAAAATAGGGATCTTTTAAATTAATGCACTCATAAAACATTCTTTTGAAACTTATTTTAGTACTGTGCGTAGATATATATTTCGAGCCAGTCTGTGATTCTTAATCATGAGCTTCCGCGGCGGTGGCGCAACAAAAACTGCGTTCCAAAGCCCTGACAGCGCGGTCACTCAGTACGAGTGTACTCTCGTTTTCTTTATTCTTATTAAAGTCATATGCAAGATGGCACACTACACTATCAATGGCACATTCTGAAGTCTCATCCACACATACTGACGTAGTACCCAACACTGTTTTCCAGCCGGGAGGTAATGACCATCCACTATCACGATTAAAATTAGAATGACGACCAATTTCGGTGGCTTCACGTACTTTCCGCGGAATAAAATGCTGTTCCTTCGCCTGTATGGATACTATCAAAACGAATACAGTGCGTCGAATCCGAAGTCAAAGAGTGTTCCGTCACTGCAGAGCCACGGCTGTCCCGGTTTTATATACTACGTATGTGTTTCGTTGGTCTAGTAGCTATATTACAGCCAGTCCTACCTATGTAATGCTTGTGACAGGAGCGGGGAACCTTATATACGCCGGGAACACTCAATCCTCCTTTGGTGAACGCACCAACTGCCTAAACTCGTTATGTCGCTCGAATCGTTTTGATGCTATATCTTCGGCGTAACAAGTGTCCAATTTGATGCGTTACTCCCTTAATATAAAGCATGTTTACCGGCAACCTCTCCTCTAGCGCCCGCCGGGGACGAGTAGATGCGCTGACGACACGATTACATTGCCTCCAGTTATAGCCGTTACTTATTGGAGTTGGAGAAGAGGCTGCCTATATAATTGCCTTACAATAAGGGAGTAGCTGATAAAATCGCACACTTGTTACTTTTATTTTGCATTCAAAGAAATACTCACTATATTTAATAGAAATTAAATTCAATATTGTATTGTTATCTCCAATGTTGGCGCTACGCAGTTCGACGTCGCTGAGGAGTTGTATATCTTTCAAAGAGTTAGACGTTATTGATTGGAAACTATTGCCTGCGACGACAGGCTGTATCGCACAGTGCTGCGCAGTGCGTTGAAGAGCGGCATTACTCTTTTGTTAAAAGAAATGTGTACTTTATTCCGTAGATAATATATTATATCTATAATTGCATTTTATATAAAATGCGCCCGGCGCAGTTCGATGCCGCCCGCCGCCG